GCTCGACTTTCTTTTTGTCTCAAAAGTGCAAGGCTGCGAGCATTGTAAATCTCTTTTAAAAATAGTATAGGAATTTGTGAAAATCAGAAATATGATTGTGAAAAATGAAAAGCAAAACAACGTTCGAACGGGGATTCGAACCCACCACAAAGGACTCGGTTAGTTCCCTAGACCATCACCTTATCCACTACACCACGACTACCAGTGAAAGAAGGCTCATAAACTCGACCCAAAAGTGTAAAGCAAAAAGTTTTAGGCTAAAAATCTTGCGTTTGCGAGCTATTCCGCAGATTTTGATTACAGATTCGGAACCGCATTTCGATTTTCTATCGAATGAGCCAGATCTCGTTTCGAAATCTCACGGTGACCTAGTTAGAGCCCGGTTGAAATGTTCCTGGACAAAAAGCTATGAATATCCAGTACTAACAGCCAGTTTACTAATTAATTAATCATGATAACAGACTGAAAATGTTCTAATTGAGAAATAAAATTCAGCTATAGTCAAATCTTTCCAGATGGACAAAGATTCGTTTGACCCGAAAACATTTTTCCGACTTCATGACATCAATGGAGATGGATATTGGAACACAGAAGAGTTGGAAGCGCTTTTCCAGATTGAACTCGATAAAATGTACAATGAAACGAATCCCGATGATGACCCAAGAGAAAAAGTGAGAAAATTTTGGGAATATAAAGATTCGTTGGCAGATTCGAGGAGATGAATCGTATGCGTGAACATGTGATGACACAAATGGACAAGAATCAAGACCGATTGGTTAGCATGGACGAGTTCATGCAGGTGAGAGAAGATTCCTGGCAATTCAGGGATCATTGCTTTTAAAATCAATTTTTAAATATCATATCCTTACTATCATAGTTAGTAATACCAATCCCAGGCTCCAATTTGATTCCAAGCCAAAACTAGACTGGCTTATAGACTTTTGGGCCAAGTTTGGAACATTTTTAGATCTAGCACTAGTATAAGAACTACATCTTGAATCTGAAATGGCTTAAAAATAAACTAAAATCAGTTTGCAATGTTTTGATTACTTATAATTCTAGGACAATGAGGCTCAAACGCCCGAAAAAGACCCTGGATGGGATGATTTGGGCAAAAATCACGTCTACACTGATGAAGAGCTGAAGAAATTCGAGGAAGAGTACGCTCAGCAACAAGGTACACCAAATAGAAATCATTTCAAAAATCACGAAATTTTTGAAACGAATAAACTATAGTGATTAAAATGATAGGTTGGGGCGAGGGCGCCTACAAAACATCGACCGCACCGGTTACAGCAAATATGCATCAACAGCAACAGCAACAGCAGCAACAACAGCAACAAGATCATCAGCAACCCGTTCAAGCTGAAGTTCACTACAATCAAGGACAGGCACCGGTTCGTTTTTTTTTGAAAGGATAGATGAATCAAATTGATTTAAATAACATTAAGTATTTTTAAGCAAATTAAAGTGTTTTGATTAATGTTAATTTTAGGCTCAACCCGTCCAGCAACAACCGCAAGCACCCGGACAACAGGTTGGCCAAAATTAATGGACAGGACAGCACTATCCTCCTAGTCTGCTCAAAAATCCTGAGCCAAGCCGATTAAGCCAGCCATAACGAGGCTTGTTCCTTAAAAGCTAAACCAAGTTCAATTTCTAATCCTCCAAGCCCAAATTTCTTTGTAACTCTTTAAATAGATTCAACTGATTTGAAGCGCATAAAGTATTTGTTTAAAACACTCTAAACGGTTAGAAATAGTTTTCTTTACAAGATTTGGATACGCCGGGTTGAAGCTATGGTCGGCGCCGGGATTCGAACCCGCGACCTGTCGCTTATCTATCGCCTGAACGCGATAGATAAGCGAGATAGCGAGACGCGATAGATAATCTATCAATGAGCTACACTGACACGTGATCCATCGACGCCAGAGCAGGGCCTTATGCCTCATTTTCTTTGGCTTGAATTTACACTTTTGGTTGGTTGGTTTTGCTCATAAATCCAGGCTAGTTTAACCAAAAAGAAAACCGAGTTGAGTCGATTGAAATGAAAGATATTGACTTTTTTGGATCAACCCTGCTATCGTTGTCTAAAGCGAACGCTCACCAATGAGCTACACTGACACGTGACCCATCGACGCCAGAGCAGGGGCCTTAACCAAAGAATCTAGCACAATAAACACAGATTTTGCTTGTATTTGGCCAAAATATCATCTAGTTAGTAAATGTTTTGCTTTTAAAAACTCAAATTTCAGCAAATTCACGAGCTCCCGAAGGATCCATCATATGGAATCTAAAAATCGACAAATCATCTAATCAAAAACGGGTTCAAATCAATAGAATTTTTGATTTATTTGCCCCGAAAAATTGCCACTTTTGTGATTCTTTCAAAAAAAACCAAGATGAGTATTTCTGCAATCGCATTGCATTGCATTTTATATGCAAATTTTATATCAGAGACTTTGTGATACAATTTTTCTTAGTCGATTCTTTCAAATTGGGGTAGGTTAATTTCCGCATTTTTTTTTTGCGCAACTGGGTCAACTGGGCGCAACTCACCATAACTTTCTTCTAAGTGGGTCAATCTTTATAATCTTTGGTGTCATTTTGTTGTACTTATTGAGATCTACAAAATGACACCAAAATCATAAAGATTGGCTGACTTAGAAAAAAGTTATGGCAAGTTTGCGCAAAAGACCCAGTTGCGCAAAAAAAAAAATGCGGAAATTAGCCTACCCCTTCAAAATCTTTCTAATTCTTTCTAATTTAATGTTAAATTGAAATTCTAAATCATTTACTCTAGTTTTTATTCAATTATAATCATTACATTTATAGATAATATTAACGAGTTTCTAATTTCGACTATTCGACTTTTTTTCAGCAATAACTTTTTCAGCAAATTTTTGGTCTAATTTTTTTTTTGTTTTCAACATATCAAAAAAGAATTCGAGAGAAATTATTTGCATTATTTTAAATGAAATTCTGTAATTTATACGTCATAATATCAGTTATACGAATCTTTTTCGTACTTCTTTTCGTTTTTTCTTTAAATTTACATTTTTTCGAAGTTAACATTGAAAAATACGACTAATTTAGACTCATCTTCGAAAATTTACATTTAAAATAAAAAAATCAAAAGATTTATGGATCAACTATCATATTTTCTAATGAATAAAGAGTTTTTAAAATGTTTTCTTTTGAAAAATCTCAAATCGCAAAAAAAAACGTTGCCTAGCGAGTCACTGAGCACCGGATTTCGATGCGAAAATCTGGAAAATTCAATACGCTTCTTTGGTTTGGTCTCCTTCCCTATTAAATCTTATTCAAAAAATAGAACGTGTTCAGAGGCACTTCACCAGAATTGCTCTTTATAAAATTAATTTTGACAAATTCTCCTCCTTTACTTATTCTGATAGATTGCAACTCTTTGATCTTGAAATGTTACACCAACGCCGCCTTATCATCGATTTAGTGGAATGCATTAAAATTGTTAAAGGCATTCATCCCGACCCCCTTTTTTCTGGTCTCTTTGAATTCGGCTCTACTCCAGAAGCCTCCAGAAGCTTCCAGAAGCCTCCAGAAGCTTCCAGAAGCCTCCAGAAGCCTCCAGAAGCCTCCAGAAGCCTTCAGAAGCCTCCAGAAGCTTCCAGAAGCCTCCAGAAGCCTCCAGAAGCCTCCAGAAGCCTTTAGAAGCCTCCAGAAGCCTCCAGAAGCCTCCAGAAGCCTCCAGAAGCCTCCAGAAGGCCTTTTCTCATACGCCAACCTTCCGTTTCGTTTTTAGTCGATTCACTTGAACATCTTGCAGCTCTCGTTCTTCGATCGCGTCTTAACTGTTCTTTTTTATGGTATTTAGAGAATTTTATTGCAAAAAGGCTTTAAAAGCTTAAAATAAAACTTTTCGAAGAATAGAAAAAACGAACTTTTGAAAGTAAAGCAAAGTGCTATAAAATTCTCTTCCACCCTAAGTCGCATCCAGAATTTCAAAGCTTCTTGAAAATCGTGGAAATTCCTAGAAGTACACGTAGTCATCCTTATCGAATTTCGGTTGGTTCTCATCCCCATCATCTTTCCCTTTAGCATTCTTTTGCGAACCGTATTAGTAGGGTTTGGAATAAGCTCCCGTCTTGGACTTGGAATAAGCTCTCGTCTGGTATCTCCTCATCTGTAGGAAAATATTCAATCATTCTCCAGAAGGGGGCCTTTTCTCATACGCCAACCTTCCGTTTCGCCCTCACAATTTCTTTTTTAATCGAGTTATTAAATTCTGGAACATTTTACCCCCTCATGTTCGTGATATTTCCACCTTGGCTAGATTTAAATTCGGCTCTCTACTTCAGAAGCCTCCAGAAGGCCTTTTCTCCTTTTCATTTCGGCAATTGATTTGACTGCTCTGTGATTCTTTCTTGAGGTATCTATTTATCTTTTGGGTATGTTTTGAGTGGTGTCCCGGGTAATTATTGTGATTTTGTTTTGTCGCTATTCAACTGAATAAAGCATATATATATATATCATATTTTGTAATAAATAAAGAGTTTTTTAAATGTTTTCTTTTGAAAAATCTCAAATCGCAAAAAAAAACGTTGCCTAGCGAGTCACTGAGCACCCGATTTCGATGCGAAAATCTGGAAAATTCAAAATTCAAATTTCAAAAAAAGCTTTTCAAATTAAGATTCCGTTTTCTTCGTAATTTTGAAAACTTTCCCATTTTCTTATAAACTTTAGCTCTCTTGCAAAAAGAGAGCTAAAATTATTATAGAGACTTTTATAAATGAAATCTGAAAGCATTAACGTCTGTATTTTGAATAAAATTTTGAATTTTAAAATAAAGTTTATTAGATTACTTTACAGGGTCAAGTTTTCAGGTTTAGTTTCTAGTTTTTTTTTTTTTAGCTTTTTTTTTTTTTTTTTTTTTTTTTTCTTGATAGCTTAGTCTATTAGCTCTTGATAGCTTAGTCTATTAGCTTAGTCTATCAGTTCATAGAGAACTAAGAAATTTAGCTATGAACGAGACGGACTCTCGGGATCGAGCTCTCATTGCGGTGATCATTTCGGCGAGTGTTGTCGTCATTCTTGGAGTTGGCATTACACGCTTTAAGGTAAAAATGAAGAGAAAGACATCAAGGAATCTACAAATTGGGCAAAATCAACGAGAAGCCGTTGTTTCCCGTCTCTTTGTAACGTTTTGATGGCTTTTGAAACGGGTAAAGAAATCTGATTCTGCGTAACTCTCGGGATCGAGCTCTCATTGGGGTGATCATTTCGGCGAGTGTTGTGGTCATTCTTGGAGTTGGCATTACACACTTGAAGGCAAGCTATTTCTTGTTTTAAGGCAGATGATCACACTTGATTTTCACTCTCTTGAACGAAAGAAATATATTCTTTATTCAAATAGCCAACCGAAACGGAATTTTGAGCTCTCATTTAAACAATTTTCACACTAATCGACAATTGAATTAAAAGAGACAATAAACTGAAACAGAATTTCGTCCAAACACGGACGTTCACACGAAAACGAAGAAGAAAACGAAGAAGAAGAACAAGGAAGCGAACAATAGTTGCCTTCAATAGGCTTTAAACACAAGATCCTCAGCTAACGAGCTGCAAAACAACAATGATTTGAGACGAGAAATAGAATGAAGACGCATGGATTTCCTCAATTTTTATATTACCAGAGTTAGGAAAGTTTTTTTAGTAGCTATTCGCCACAAAACGACCGAGTGAGACTCTTTCAAAAGATCGGCAATTTCCATCAGTTTTCTTTCCTCAAACAATCGAATTGTTTGATTCGATTCGATTCAACGGGTGCAAGTCCTTTTTGCTTTTCAAATCTAATAATAGAGCGTTTAATAATAGTTCAAGAAGTGACAAAAAAGGAAAAAACACAAAACAGTTGAGCTGAAGTTCGTTTCATGGTTATGCTGCAGACGCCGGATCCGGGTTTGGCCTGTGAGTGGGGGTTCTCTTGTGAGCCGGGCTTGTAATTGGACCCGGCTCCTCCTCCTTGTCTTGCTCCTCCTCCTTCTCCTGCTCCTTCTCCTTGTCTTGCTCCTCCTCCTTCTCCTGCTCCTCCTCCTCCCGTCTGCCCCCCCTCTCCTGCCCCCCCCTTGTCTTGCTCCTCCTCCTTCTCCTGCTCCTCCTCCTTGTCTTGCTCCTCCTCCTTCTCCTGCTCCTCCTCCTTGTCTTGCTCCTCCTCCTTCTCCTGCTCCTCCTCCTTGTCTTGCTCCTCCTCCTTCTCCTGCTCCTCCTCCTTGTCTTGCTCCTCCTCCTTCTCCTGCTCCTCCTCCTTGTCTTGCTCCCCTCCTCCTCCCCCTCCTTCTTGCTCCTCCTCCTTCTCCTGCTCCTCCTCCCTTGTCTTGCTCCTCCTCCTCCTCCTCCTGCTCCTCCTCCTTGTCTTGCTCCTCCTCCTTCTCCTGCTCCTCCTCCTTGTCTTGCTCCTCCTCCTGCTCCTCCTCCTTGTCTTGCTCCTCCTCCTTCTCCTGCTCCTCCTCCTTGTCTTGCTCCTCCTCCCTTCTCCCTGCTCCTCCCTCCCTTGTCTTGCTCCTCCTCCTGCTCCTCCTCCTTGTCTTGCTCCTCCTCCTTCTCCTGCTCCTCCTCCTTGTCTTGCTCCTCCTCCTCCTCCTCCTGCTCCTCCTCCTTGTCTTGCTCCTCGTCCTTGTCTGGCTCCTCGTCCTTGTCTGGCTCCTCGTCCTTGTCTTGCTCCTCGTCCTTGTCTTGCTTCTCGTCCTCGTCCTCGTCCTCGTCCTCGTCCTTGTCCTTGTCTTGCTTTAGCCAACACCGGTTCGGTCGCTCTGCGATCCTTTTCCTTAACGAGTCCCAAAAGGAACACCTATCTAGCGGGAGCGTGTGCCAGGCGGCGAGCGATTATGCGGCCACACAAAGAATTTAAAAAACCTTACCATTCTAGGTAACCGAGCGAATCACCCCAAATTTCACCCACGTCCGCCAACAGGCCGACCAGGCACTCGCCAACGAAATGTGGAACAACCAAATGTTGAACAATGTCAGAAACTCTAGGGTTCATCGTAAAAAAACCGTTTCAGAATTCAGAAGCAGCGATTGTTGCAGCTCTCCACAATCACTATTCAAAGTTGCTTAAAGGATATCAAGCAATTCGCTACACTCAACCGAAAACGGATATTGTTTATCTATTGAACATGATCACAACAACAGGTTACATTTAAAATTGCCAATAATAATTTGGGAATGTCTTTTCATAGCCGAGCTTGCTTTAGGCGATTCCCGAGAAACTGATGTGACTGCATGGGAATCAGTTGCCTATTTCCTGCCGGCTGTCCTCGTTACCGCTTACATCTATTCAATTGCAGCGAAAATGATCAGAAATTGGGTGAAAGGATTCTTTGGTTTGTTAAAATGAGAAAAAAAGAATTTATCAGCAAATGTTTAGATCCATCTCAAGCCTCGGAAAGATACACGATTGACTACGATCCAACTCTGGAGTTCGGCGAGTTTAGCGACGATTTCACCAATCCATCGCGGTGTCGGGTAATAGAAAAGAGCACTAGAGACGCAAAAATAACAAACTGTCACTACAAACGCTTCTAACTTGCTTCAAATCGACCAGATTGACAAGATCTATAGCTCAGAAATAGAGAATCTGAAGAGCTTTCGAATGAACTAAAGTACACAAAAAATTATCAATTCTAAAGAAAGTTATAGTGGTTTGTAGTCGAAGCGATCGAGCAGGCTTCAAACCACTATAACTTTATTTAGAATTAATATTTTTGGATATGCTTTAGTCCATTCGAAAGCTCTTCAGATTCTCTATTTCTGAGCTATAGATCTTGTCAATCCGATAGATTTGAAGCAAGTTAGAAGCGTTTATAGTTTACGTTTGTAGTTTGTAGCGCCCGGGTAAGAGATTCGATTGTTTATGACTGTTGGAGAAATCATTTTCATTTCTGTAACTTTGTAGGTTTTATTAGCTTTAAAATCTAGCAATAAAATGGCAATAAAGCCAATTTATCTAGTTTTTTGAGCTTTTCATGTTCAGAGAAAATCCTGACCGGTGCCCCAGCCGAATTGTCGCCATTGATGGGACAAGTGGGACTGATTGGAGCAATTCCAAAAGAAGAAACGGTTCCCAGCAGTGAGTTACATTCGTTAAAAGCAGCTTATTATAAAAAGATCAGATTTCGCAAGCGTGAATCTGATCCAAAGCTTTATGACTCAAAGCAAGTCGGGCACGGGCAACACGAGGCGTTACAGCGTTACAGCGTTACAGCTTTACAGCGTTACAGCAAAAGTTCTTATACTTTTTGTAAATGGACAATTTGACTCAAAAAAACACGCTATTTTTGAAAAACTAACGCCGGTTTATGAAAATTTAGGTATTTTTACCTATTCTATACTATTTTTTTGCAGAAAAATTGCGCTCTAAACAACTTTTTGATGTCAAGGATTGGGCTGCTGTGTAAAAACGAAAATTGCGCCAAATGGAATTGCCATTTAGCAGCGCCTTCGCTTTGCGTGGGTTTGGTTTCAAAATGTAGCCCTTCAATTGGGCTACACGATGGTATAAGTAACTTTTAGAAAAACTCTTGTTTAGTACAAGAAAAATGGCCGCAAAGTGAGAGCGCTGACTGTACATTGCAATGCTAACAACGGCGTACCGTCTTTTGTATTGTAGTGTTGGTGCTCTCACTTTGCAGCCATTTTTCTTGTACTGAACAACAGTTTTTCTAAAAGTTATTTATACGATCGTGTAGCTCGATTGAAGGGCTATATATTGATACTAGAGTTGCACAAAGCAACGGTAAATGACAATTCCATTTAGGCTTTGAAACCAAACCCGCACAAAGCGAAGGCGCTGCTAAATGGAAATTTCATTCGGCGCAATTTTCATTGTCCCGATTTAAGTGCCTTCCGTTGAGACGCTTGAAAATCTTTCCTTTTTAAGATATAAACTACGTTTATGGCTTGTTTTCAAGAAAAAAACTTAGAGCTATCGAATGGTAACAACAATCAAATCGTTTTTTTTTGTAAAAAATTTCATTCTGCAAAGTTTCAGTGAACTTTCGCAAAAAAAACCTTTAGCAACCAAATCTGGATTTAAAAAATCTAGTCAAAAAAGTTGTTCACAGTTGAAATCTTTTTATGAAAATGAAAATTTGGGGTAAAAATAGTTGAATTTTTTGAATCCGGTGTTAGTTTTTCGAAATGCACATGTTTTTCAAGTTAAAACTCCTTACAGAAAAAGTATAAGAACTTTTGGGACACTCTGTAGTTTTGCCTAAGATTTCTGTAAAAACGCATTTGAAATTTGACCTCCAGTGCACTGAGCGAGGGCTTTGTATGGGTATTATAAGGGTCATCAAATAAGTGACTCGATGGTGCAGTGGTAGTGTCGTTGTTTCCGATTCTTGTCATCTGAGTTCGATTTCCCTTGGATCGAAACCTAATGGGAACCTAATAAAGCCTGAGAACCCAATAAAGTCTATCCGTGAACCAGATGGAAAACAAATGGGGAACCAAATGGGAACCTAACGGGAACCTAGTAAAGCCTGGGAACCTAATAAAGTCCATTCATTAACCAGATTGGAACCAAATGGGAACCCAATGGGGAACCAAATGGGAACCAAATGGGAGTCCAATGGGAACCAAATGGGAGTCCAATGGGAACCAAATGGGAACCAAATGGGAGTCCAATAGGAACCCAATGGGAACCTAATGGGAACCAAATGGGAGTCCAATAGGAACCAAATGGGAGTCCAATAGGAACCAAATGGGAACCTAATGGGAACCAAATGGGAGTCCAATGGGGACCCAATGGGAACCTAATGGGAACCAAATGGGAGTCCAATAGGAACCAAATGGGAGTCCAATAGGAACCAAATGGGAACCAAATAGGAACCAAATGGGAGTCCAATAGGAACCAAATGGGAGTCCAATAGGAACCAAATGGGAACCAAATAGGAACCAAATGGGAGTCCAATAGGAACCAAATGGGAACCCAATGGGGAACCAAATGGGAACCAAATGGGAGTCCAATGGGAACCAAATGGGAACCTAGTAAAGCCTGGGAACCTAAATAAAGTCCATTCATTAACCAGATTGGAACCAAATGGGAACCAAATGAAAACGATGAGAAACAACTCGAAACCAAATTCGGAACAAAAATAGACAAAAATCGGCTATTTTTCAGTAAAAATGCTAAGTCATACGGGTTTGAGTCAAATTCGTTTCTGAAAACTGACTATTCCCTAGTTAACCTTTCAATAGACCATTATTTAGTTCTTTTCATAATCTGCCTCACCATTTACATCATTGCCGGCACTATTCTCGTCGTCGCTTACAAAGAATACGACTTTTTCACGGTCAGCTTTTTCTAATGCTTAATTTAAAGCAAACATTTTAGGCATTTATCTCTTTTGTGCGATTTATTGCATTCATCGGTGGGACTTTGACAAAAATCAAATCATATTTTGTTTAGAGCCATTCAGTGTACTCGATACGATTGGTGGATATCTTGTGCTTTGCATGTGTTACGGAGGACAGGTAATCGGAGGAAATCTTCAATATTATAGTGAAAAAAACCCCGCGAGACACTTTTTCTTCGAAAGTGAGCTTCAGAAGATTTCTGCTTTCTTATGAAATTGCAAATTTGGTACTTGTTATGGTAAAACTCATTATCATTTTTACCATAACAAGTACAAGTATAGGTAACAAGTATCAGCTAAACAGTACGGTAATCTGAACAGCTCTTTTGTGTCAACAATGGCTATATAGAACACGAAAAGTTAGATTTCCGAATGACCTCTGCCAACTTTTTAAAAGATTTTTTACGAAAAACGAGTTTTTACACTCGATTTTGGTTGGAAACGAATCAAAATTGGCTTAAAAAGCTAGAAAAATAAACAAAAAACTTCATTGGATCATTGGTAGCTGGGAAATCATTGATAGCTTTGTTATTTCTAAGCAGAAGTAGAAAAAAAAGATGATCAAGAGCTCGGAAAAATCGATTTTCGTGGAGTCAGGGAGAATCTATTGGAGAAATCTATTTGAGAATGCCATTCTATTAGAATAATTACGTTATATAGAAAGCGATAACCCAAGCGTGTAGCAGAAAACGGACGAATAGAAAATAAATCGTTTTGCTTTTGCACAAATGCATAAAAATCTAGCTATAATCACATTTTTCGATTCTCTTCGTGTGCACATTGATCGAACAGGCTCACGGGATTGAGGTTTGTCTGGGTCGGCTTGATCGTTCTCATCACGATCCACTCTCAATTGATGATTCATATGTGAATGCTAGGTATGAAAAGAAATGAAAGAAAGAACTAGAATTACGAGATTTAGACAAAGTGGATAAAACCGATTGGACAAATGGTTCATTCAGATTCATTTTGATGCCAATTTTTTTTGTTGAAAATAAATCTTGTTGCTTTGGTGATTTCTTATCGTATTCTCTGTAATAGTAGTGCAGACAGGAGTAGAGTGTGCTCCTCGCGAGTAATGCGTTTTTTTAAAACGCACACTTGGGAAAAAATCTAACTTTAGATCAGATCTGTCTTTGTGTTTAGCAAAAAAACAAAAACAAAAGCGAAACAAAACCTTTTTTTAACTCGCTTTGCTCTTTTTACATTTTACAAGTGAACAAAATGTTGATTTTAACTTCTTCTCGTGTCCGATTGGATTGTTCGATCTGGATCTATCTACTAATAGGTTGATGCATAAGTCTTTTCGTTTTTTTCGTACTTCTGTTAAAAAGTAACAAATATTCACCAATTAATCTATAGTTTGCTCTATAAAAAAAGTGTTTTTTTGTTCAATTTGCATCTTTTTAAATGAATTTCGGTTCACTTTCAAGCAAATTCGAGAGTGAAAAACGCCTTTTTCGTAAAAATCTATAAAAAACTCTACGGAAAAATTGGCTGAATGAATTTCTCTGAAATTTTGGCGAAATATCAAACGTTTTTTTCTCTATCTTTTATCTATTGACACGAAGATAGGTTTTCTTTAGCTAAGGTGTCTAAACCGCATCTTTAGCTAAGGTGTCTAAACAGCATCATCGAGTTAGCCCTTTTTGACTACCCGACTTCATACTCTCAAGAAAATCCAGGCATTAAATATTTTTAAACCCGTTTTAATGTTATTTTGCAGAAAAATAATTGCTTTTTCTAATGAAATCAACCGTAGTTTAATTGGTGCATTTGTTGGCTTGAAACGGCAGACGAAAAGGAACAAAAACACTTATGCATCAACCTAATAGCTGTAAAAACTTTTAGAAAAGAGATATTAGGTTGTCCCATAAAAAATTGCCGTTTTTTCATTTGATTCGTATTCAGCGACAAATTAACACTTTTTCTTTCTCTTTTTTTTATTATACTAATTTACAATTCTAGTTTTATGTGCTAAATTCTCTTTTTTAGGAATCAAAAACAAAAAAAGTTGTGATCGATCACATGGCCCTGTCTCGTAAAGAAATCCATCAATAATCCATCAACGATATTTGAGGAGGATTTCCGCGGCCAAAGCAGCGAGAAAAATCAATTCTTTTATGGGCCAACAATCGTCAAGGAAAGGACTACACGATGGTGGTTTCAGAAGTTCCGAAAAGGTGACAACCGGCTCACACGAAAGCGGGGAAGCGGTCGTCCCAGAAAAGTGAATCGACAGACGTTGAGGCGCCAACTTCAGCAAAATCCCGAAGGAACGACTCGGATTTTGGCACAAAGCTATTGCTGAAGGATGACAGTATGGCGTTGGCTCAAAAAAAACCGGAAGAAAGTGGTTGAAACAGCGGCAATTTTTGAAAAACGGCAATTTTTTATGGGACAACCTATTTATCTCAAAACGGTTTTTACCAAAGTTTTTACCAATTTACCAAACCAATCGATCCGTCTTGAATTCAGCTTTAGGATGAGCTATAAAAGGTCAAAATTGGACAAATTTAAGATACTCTCCCAAAAAATCCGAAAGGACTTTTCCATCAACCCAATAAAAGCCTCATCAGCTACAGCCTGTACCCAACCAGTTACAGCCTGTACCCCATCAGCTACAGCCTTTACCCAACCAGTTACAGCCTTTACCCAACCAGCTACAGCCTGTACCCCATCAGCTACAGCCTGTACCCCATCAGCTACAGCCTTTATTCATATATATTGGGTTGATGAAAAATCGGAGGAGCACCAGCGACACGTGTTTTTCTTTTGAACTTTTAGTACCATTCATAAAAACTTTTAGAAAAGAGATATCTCAAAACGGTTTTTACCAATCGATCCGTCTTGAATTCAGCTTTAGGATGAGCTATAAAAGGTCAAAATTGGACAAATTTAAGATACTCTCCCAAAAAATCCGAAAGGACTTTTCCACTAACCCAATTGGCCTGAACTTTTTTCGAGCTTTACTTGGTTAATGAACTCAAAAATCTCGTGTTTAAGTTCTCAACAATAAATAAAACTTTTTACTTGGATTTTTTTAAATAAAAGAAACTGTAACATATTAGGCAGTCATCCATTAATAATACAGGGCTTATGAGCCTTGTTATAACCTCAAAAATCAACAACGATCGTGTCTCGGCGCTAAAATTAGAGGGTGTTTTGGAGTGGGCATTATTTTTGAAAAAGCTCCTGGCAAACGCCTGACCAAAGTGTCAAGTGTTTTATAGAAAAATAAAGCTCTTTATCTTGGCATCATTTTTCGACAAAGAACTTCTCGATTAGAATTATACAACTCATTTTAAAAGCTCTTGAATGAGCTCAAGTCGGCCTCTCGCCGACAATCGCCATTTTTGACACCTTCCTTAATAAAAAAGGTTGCTAATTTTTAGCAAACTACCAAGTGTTATATAGAACATAAAAGCTCTTAATCTTGGCTACATTTATCTATTAAAAGTTTTTCGATTAGACTATTACAACTCATTTTAAAAGCTCTTGAATGAGCTCAAGTCGGCCTCTCTCCGACAATCGGCCATTTTTGACACTTTTTGGCATACAATATTTTCATCTAGGTAGAAATTCCTTAATCAAACTTGTAATATTTTACTTTAAAAGTACGCTTGAATGTTATTTTGCAGAAAAATAATTGCTTTTTCTAATGAAATCAACCGTAGTTTAATTGGTGCATTTGTTGGCTTGAAACGGCAGACGAAAAGGAACAAAAAGACTCATGCATCAACCTATTAGATGAACTAGATGAGGAACTAGATGAACTAGATGAAGAACTAGATGGGGAACTTGATGAAGAATTTGATGAAGAACTAGATGAACTAGATGAAGAACCAGATCAACAACTAGATGAAGAACTAGATGGAGAACTAGATGAACTAGATGAAGAACTAGATCAACAACTAGATCAACAACTTAATGTTATTTTGCAGAAAAATAATTCGTTTTTCTAATGAAATCAACCGTAGTTTAATTGGTGCATTTGTTGGCTTGAAACGGCAGACGAAAAGGACCAAAAACACTTATGCATCAACCTAATATATCAGTAAAGAAAATTTATGTAAATCCAAGTAATCCTTATTTTCCCACAATCAAATCGAAACTTCATCACAGTTTAGCAAAATTTAATAAAAAATTGAAAAACATTGTTTCAGCATTCACAGAAATCAAATAGAATTGCGAATTTTTATTCGAAAAAGCTCTTCCAACTGTTTTACAGTCAAATTTCTCACAAAAAAAAAGATTAAAAAACCATTCAGGATTGTCCATTCATTTAAACTTTAATTTAGTTTTTGAAAGTAAGATCTTTTATATGATAACCAATCTCATAAGCTTTTATCGCTTTGAAACTTGAAAACAAAAAAATTTAATGAATTTTGCAAGTAAATTCCGAAGAGATGATTCATAAAAATCTCTCTAAAATGTAAGAAATTAAATGTCATATGCCATATGCTGATGTCATCTGCCTTTCTTATGTGTTCATTCATTCAGGGGAAAGGCAATGAATCATCAACGAATCATCAACGAATCATCAATGAATCTCATTTCAATTCCATTGTATAGTATTTGTATCGCATTGTATCGTATAGGTAACTGGATTTTGAATATTATTTTTGAGATTTTCCTTTTATATAAGGTTTTTGTGTAGAAAAGTAGCTCTTTTCTGATGCTTGATGCTTTGATTTTGAATACCGTATTCTCTTTAATCGTAGTGCATCTTAAGCGTTGCCTAAATTCCTCGAAATCTCGAGAAGCGCTTATCAGAACCTATCGATGTGGGGTCGGAAAATGTAGCTGACGATGAGATCTAGTCAAGGATTTGAGTGTTGAGCTTCTGCAAAAGCTTGAAAACCGTAAAATAGTCATTAACTCGGCTGCACCGGTGCATTACTATTAGAGAAAATATAAATAAAATGTCCGGTAATTAAGACTTTAAGTCCGGCTGAAGAAATCGAACTCTGACGGAATCAAGAAAATAATCTTTAGGTAGCTTTTTCTAATAGTAGTGCACCCTGAGCGTCGCCTAAATTCCTCGAAATCTCGAGAACCAGAACCTATCGAACCTATCGTTATTTAGTTATGTAGCTATCTACCGTATTCTCTTTAATAGTAGTGCATCTTAAGCGTTGCCTAAATTCCTCGAAATCTCGAGAACCGCTTATCAGAACCTATCGATGTGGGGTCGGAAAATGTAGCTGATGATGAGATCTAGTGGGGGATCTAGTGAGTGTTGAGCTTCTGCAAAAGCTTGAAAACCGTAAACTAGTCATCAACTCGGCTCGCCGGGGTACTACTATTAGAGAAAATACGGTATCTAGATATGAACAAAATTTTTGCGATTCTTTACTGCTCAAAATCTCGAAAGCTACTGGTCCTAAATTGCTCGAAATCTTATTAAGGTTCCTTTTGGACTATTCTTTTAGTCTAAGCCGACTGGCTAAGAGCCCTATATCTTCACAGGAGGTCAAGGGTTCAATCCTGCTAGATTATTGGTTCTTTTTTTCCCATATACCATATTTCTTTAATAGTAGTGCATCTTAAGCGTTGCCTAAATTGCTCGAAATCTCGAGAAGCGCTTATCAGAACCTATCGATGTGGGGTCGGAAAATGTAGCTGACGATGAGATCTAGTGAAGGATTTGAGTGTTGAGCTTCTGCAAAAGCTTGGAAACCGTAAAATCGTCACCAACTCGGCTCGCTTGGGTGCACTACTATTAGAGAAAATACGGTATGTTAAAGGTTTTTAAGCTTACTTACAATTAAATCTCTTACTGAAAGAATATTGTCAGGAAGATTGGGATTGAATATCTCTGATTCTCTTGTCCTTCCTCTAAAGATCGTTTGTGTGATAAAAAGGGACGGAGTCCACTTTGTATTGCTTTTCTTTGGCTTTGACACACACAGAACCAGCGATTGATTCTATTTTCTCGCTAGATTAGTGATTTTGCTATATTCGGAATCAATATTCAAATAATCATTGCCCGATCGGTACCCTCTCACGCACAGCAGAATGAAAGGAACTGCCCACCTCAGCCTTGTAGCCTTCTCCAACCTTCTCGTGTCACTCTCAAAAGTATTGCATGTTTTAATCTCTTTTTTTGATTACTAACGCTATATTAGACATTTTAACTTTTATAAAACATTAATATTAAAACTTTTCCGCACTTTCGAACTTTTCAAACGGAAATTTCCTCACTACGTTTCTTTTTCGGAAAAAAAGACAATGTTGCCTAGGTGTCGCCTGGGAGAATATTATAGGCAAAAGTGGGTCTCTTTCTGTTTTTCTTTTCTCATTCATACTCATTTTCATTGGCAGAAAAATGCCTAATAGGCCAATTGTTACTTTGAATATCGATTTAAGTTTTTTTTTTGACATTTATCACTCTTTAATTTAAAAAAACTGGCTTATGATAAGTTGAGAAACTAAAAAACTGACTTTCTGGTAGAGGAACGGAACTTTTCAAGTTGATAAACTTGAGTCTCCTTTTGAAATCTTTCTAAAAATTTGTTTATTTTAGCTTTATCATTTAATCTGCATTTTGCAGAGGCGTGAGAGGCGATGGGGCAATGATTATTTAGATATTTTATTCCAAATCTAGCACAATCACAATATAGAAACAATGTTTCAAAGTTTAGTGTTTCAAAGCCAAAGAAAAGCAATACAAAATGAAACATTTTGGCTAATCTATCGCTCATCAAGTCGATTTCTTCATCATCAACAACAGAGTTACTGTTTTGAGAACTAATTGAAGCCTTTTTATGCTCTAAAGCTAAAGCAACTATGTATTGTTTTCCATTTTTTCGATAACTATCATTTTCTTTTTATTTGATGCTTTTTATACAAAGAATGGGAGAAACAAAAATCTCTATTTTTAAATAATCTCAAAATAAAATCTGTCCAGGGGGAAACCGATGGGGCAATGATTATTTAAATATTTTATTCCAAATCTAGCACAATCACAATATAGAATCAATCGTTGGCTGAGTGTTCAGTTTCGAAGCCAAAAGGAAAAGAATACAAAGTGGGCTCCGTCCCCTTTTTATTACACAAACGATCTTTAGAGGTGAATCAGAGTGAATCAGATTTTCAAAATCAAAGCATCAAATGAGATTTCACAGAGGTTTTTTGTGTAGAAAAGTAACTCTTTTCTGCGAAAACCTTATTTGATGCTTTGATTTTGAATACCGTATTCTCTCTAATAGTAGTCCACCCTGAGCGTCGCCTAAATTCCTCGAAATCTCGAGAAGCGCTTATCAGAACTGATCGATATGGGGTCGGAAAATGTAGCTGACGATGAGATCTAGTGAAGGATTTGAGTGTTGAGCTTCTTCAAAAGCTTGGAAACCGTAAAATAGTCATCAACTCGGCTCGCCGGGGTACTATTAGAGAAAATACGGTATCTCTGATTCTCTTCTCCTTCCTCTAAAGATCGTTTGTTTGATAAAAAGGGACGGAGCCCACTTTGTATTGCTCAAAATCAAAGCATCAAATGCGATCTCACAGAAAAGAGCGACTTTTCTGCATCATTTATCAATTCTTATCCTTTTGTTTAATTTTAGAACTGTACTTAAAGTTAGATTAAATAAAAGCCGAAGAAAATGCAATCATTTTTTTATTTAACAAGCAAATTTCCTCAATTTCTCTAAAAATTCTATAAAAATATCGATACAATAACTTTGTATACTCATTAATAAAAACATAGAGGAAAACAGTCTTGAAGAGTAGTGCTCTAAAATGCCGTTTTTCTATAGTCAAAATGGCACTTTAGCGCACCTTTCTATTTTACTCTATAACTCGACCCCCAGTAATCAGATCGACTTAAGGTTGGTTTTAAAATGATCCTCATCAAATTTGGTTATATAAAACTACAATTTATTTTGCATACTCAAGTGTAAGAACATAGAGAAAATTTGTGTCAAAGTTGAACAACTTACCTAAAAAAGTTGATCAACTTGGATGGTCTATAACTCGAGGTATAGAAATTTAATCAATTTATGGTTGGTTTTAATAGAATCCTCATTAAATTTGACTAAAGAAAAGTGGAATCTGTTTTGTATAGTCTTTGATAGGAACATAGAGAAAAACCGTCTTGAAGAGTAGTGCTCTAAAGTCAAAATGGCACTTTAGCGCTTCTCTATTTTACTCTATAACTCGACCCCCAGTAATCAGATCAACTTGAGGTTGGCTTTAAAATGATCCTTATTAAGTTTGGTTATAGAAAACTACAATTTCTTTTGTATACTTATGTGTAAGAACTGTACTTAAAGTCAGATGAAATAAAAGCCGAAGAAAATGCAATCGTTTTTTATTTAACAAGCAAATTTCCTCAATTTCTCTAAAAATTCTATAAATAAATCGATAAAATAACTTCCAATTCATTTGAGAAAACGAGTTTTTCAATGTTTTCAATGTTCTTTTTGTGGCAAAGTTGAAATGAATTGAAATGAACAATCGATTAACAGCCGGGAAGTCAGAATTGTTAATATTATGGGCAAAAGTGGATCTCTTTCTGTTTCTCTTTTCTCATGCATACTCATTTTCATTTGCAAAAAAATGCTCATTCAATTTGGCTATAGAAAAGTACATTTTGTTTTATATACCTAGGTATAAAAACAGAGAAAATTTACGTCAAAGTTGAACTACCTACCCGGAAAGGTTGATCAATTTAAATGGTCTGTAACTCGAGGCATATAAGCTGAATGAACTTTTGGTTGGTTTCATTAGAATTTTCATTAAATTTGGCTATAGAAAAGTACAATTTGTTTTGTACATCTTGGTATAAAAACATAGAGAAATTTTGCGTCAAAGTTGAACTACCTACCCGGAAAGGTTGTTCAATTTAAATGGTCTATAACTCGAGGCATAGGAATTGAGTTGACTTGTGATTGCTTTTAAAAGAATCCTTATTAAATTTGAGTAAAGAAAAGTGGAATCTGTTTTGTATAGTCTTTGATAGGAACATAGAGAAAAACCGTCTTGAAGAGTAGTGCTCTAAAGTCAAAATGGCACTTTAGCGTACTTTTCTATTTTACTCTATAACTCGACCCCCAGTAATCAGATCAACTTGAGGTTGGTTTTAAAATGATCCTCATCAAATTTGGTTATATAAAACTACAATTTCTTTTGTATACTTATGTGTAAGAACTGTACTTAAAGTCAGATGAAATAAAAGCCGAAGAAAATGCAATCGTTTTTTATTTAACAAGCAAATTTCCTCAATTTCTCTAAAAATTCTATAAATAAATCGATACAATAACTTCGAATTCATATGAGAAAACGAGTTTTTCAATGTTTTCAATGTTCTTTTTGAAGCAAAGTTGAAATGAATTGAAATGAACAATCGATTAACAGCGCCTGTAAGTCAGAATTGTTTAAAAACAAAGAATTTTAACGAAAAACTTGTAAAAACTTGTATTGGCTAGCTTTTCCTTGGAAAATCTCTCTTTTTCCGCTTTTTCTCAAAAACAAACACTTCACTTTATGCATAAAATCGTGCTATAAAGTGTCTTTCTATTCTTATCTTTTTTTTTCTGAAATCGATTGGCCGAGAAAAAGAGCTTCCATCTGTTTCTAAATCGTATTTTCGTCGATTTCTGTGTCTGATTTTTTAAAGATATTCATTTAACTTTGCATTTTCTGTAAATCTCAATACGACTTGATCAATTCTGAAGAATTCAAGCGAAATTTCAGATTCCTTGATGGATAGCTATGAAGATGAAAAAATGGCGAAAACCATTCCTCTTGCTTTTGCTAATTTGCTTCGTTTTTCTCATCGTCGACAATGACAATTATTGGACAAGTGAACAAGTGCTGACTGAAGAAACGACTGCTTATAGGTAAACTTTTGACACAATAAAGGAATGATTTGTCTCCAGATTATAACTTAAAAGCAGCAAAACGCCTTGATCTAACAATTTATCTAGTACTTTCAGTACTTCAAAAGATCTAGTACTTTTAGTACTTCTAAAAGATCAGTTACGTGAAGAATCATGAACAAATCTAGTACTAGATCCGGTAAATCTAGTACAAGATCAATTGTAACTCGAAAATCGATGAGCTCAGAGAATTAAATTGGTACTATTGGGTTGTTGAATTGAAAACCGCTGGCTATTGTCAGATGTGACAGTTTGAGCACTTTCTTCAAAAGAAACCCATTTTGGTGTCAATGGAAAAGTTGTAGAGAATCAAAAATCAAGCTTATATCCAAATTTTCAGAACGATTCAAAAACTGGGTTTCAAGAAATGCCAAATTTTCACAAAACTTGCATTTTAAACGAAACTACTAAGTGTATCTTTTTGAAAATTTGGCTATAAGCCTAATTTTTGATTCTCTACAACTTTTCTATTGACACCAAAATGGGTTTCTTTTGAAGAAAGTGCTCAAACTGGGCTGACGGCTGACACCTCCAGTCCTCGATTTTTGAGTGTCACACTTGTCTCACACACAAACCAAAATCCTACTACGAAAGAGGAATCCGCAAATTGGCTGTAAAATGGGCAGAAGTCGTCAATAATAATGGAAATTATTTGGAATGAATTCATGGTTTTATGTTGAATAAATTTTAGTTCAAAGTCCGGCAGTTTTCACTTCACCAATCCAATAACATTTGGAATTTCTAAGCTAAATCTTTCCCATTTCTTTACGGATATGACTTGGTTTGACTAAAAGGCTTTGGCTCTACTCTTTCTGTGAAATCTGTGAAATCTACTCTTTCTGTTTCTGTGTTCAAAGTCCCCGCAGTTTTCAATTCACCAACCCAATAGATTTATGCTCGAAAAACTATAAATAAGTGCTAAAACTTGCATTCAGTGACTAGAAATAACCTAGACAAACGTTTTTGACTCGATCTTCCCATGCAGATGGACTAAATAAAAATATCTTTAAAGGTTGTTAAGTATAAACATTTAGTAACTCAAATCCAAAAGATTTTGGACCGTTTCTGTAAGTTCTAGAAGTGGAAAGAGCAAATTTATAGAAACAAAAAGTAGAAAGTTTTGTGATGAAGTAGAGGAATTCAAAAGTGTGCTTTTCATGGAAACTGTGGACTTTTGAGCTCCCCAGCTCATGCATGACCATCTATTCACAAGCATCATCAAAAAAAACAACTTCATCTTGTTGTGTGGCACCTGAGGCAAAACCAATGACACCACGATGAGCCTTGAAAAATCAACGAGAAAATTTTTCCACACTTAAACCGATGACCACTTTTTTCCGGAAATCCTTTAGAATTTTAGAAATTAGATTAAATAACAAGGGCAAACATGAAAAAAGCAAAAGATATAGAATAACAACAGATAGATGGCATTAAATGGTTACAGGTAAGCCTTCAAGCTCATAACTATGACACACCTTGGTCTAGCTCTAGAAGCCTAGCAACTCTAGAAGCCTAGAAGTCTAACTCTAAATGAGAACCTTTATCTGCTAAATGAGAACCTTTATCTTTATCTTTAAGCTTTCCTTTAGACACCAAAAGATCATCCTCGCGTGGAACGCGTTTTTCGGTGCCGATCCTTTCTTTCTTCGTCGTGATCAATGTTCTTTAAATGTGAGGGGTTTTACTTTGAAAAATTGAATAGAATTTGGTTTAGGGTACGTGTTTCTTGACGACAGATCGACGTTTCATTCGTTTAGCCGATGTGGTGGCTTTTCATTCACGAGATATGAACGATTTACCGCATCCAATGTATAGAAAGCAGGTATTGAAGGGATTAGAAAGAAAAGGAACATGAACAGAACATATAAACGACTTTGATTTGAGCACTTAAAAAAAAGAATAGACGCATCACTCTTTTCAGCATCAAATCTATCTCTTTTGGACGATGGAAGCTCGTGAGAATGTTGGATATTTCAAATTTTCTCGTGAGTTCTTGGTCCTCTTCTTTCTAAACCCCTTCAATCATCCGTTATATACATTCAATCATCGAGTTCAATCCTACAAACCCAAGATTTCAATCTTTCAACCTCAACTTTTCCTCAAGTCCTTTTCAGGTGATTATTTCAATCGCACAATGTCCTTCTCAACTCATTCCGATATCCGATTAACATATGGTGGAATCGAATTTGTGAAAAAGTAGAGATTACGATAATACCGGACGAATTATAACGACAACTTTTTGGAAAAGAATAGAGAAAAGTGGCCGAATGACAGATTCGTGAAAAGGCCGACTAGCGCTCATTCAAGGGCTTGTTAAAATGAGTTGTATAAGTCTAATTGGAAAGTTTTTGGTCGATAAATGTAGCCAAGATTAAGGGCTACAATTCTCCATATAACAATTGACACTTTTCAAATAAATGAGATATTTCCCAGATACTTTTCCAAAAAAGGTGTCGCTATAATTCGCGGTACATAGTTTTACTGTAAAGGGAAAGTACTGTAAATATAAATGTAAATAGCTTACAGATAAAAAGAACTTATATCAGCTGTTCTTACGCTATAAATTTGTTGAAAAAATCTTCCCAATGGAAATTTTTTATTGTTGAAAAGCGGCGAAATGACAGATTTGGGAGAAATGCCGACTAGCGCTCATTCAAGCACTTGTTAAATGAGTTGTATAAGTCTAATCAGGAAGTTTTTTGTAGATAAATGTAGCCAAGATTAAGGGCTACAATTCTCTATAAAACACTTGACACTTTTGCAATAAATTAGACATTTATCAGATACTTTTCGAAAAACTTGTCGCTATATTGTTTGGTAATTGGCAATTGAACTAGATATCATAATATTTTTACAAACTTAGACCAGCATTTGATGGAACGTCTTCTCGAACTCTTCAGCCAACAAAAAACTACCCACTTCCATCATTCGATTCGTTTGTAAACAAAACAAAATCGATTTTCGGTCTTGTTTCGAATTGTCCTTACTTGGGAGATGACAGGAGATGGGAAATCATTGAAAAGATTCAAAAGTAAGCTAATTTAAACAATAATTTGAATAATTTAAAATAATCTAAATTGAAGATCAAACTTTTTAGAGAATACCCGGTTGATATGTTCGGTAGCTGTGGTCGGAAAAGACAATTCAAGAACTTTTGTGCAAAAGGCCGACCAGATTGTGACGAAGTGGTGAAGAAAGAGATTGAGAGTGGGTTTTTTAAGCAAAAAAAGGTCAAAAAAAGTTACCAAGTTAGCAACTATTAGGTTGTTCGGATATAAACGAGTGTTTGCACTGCTTAACTAGCGAGGAAGCCATTTCCCGTATCTGATCGCCTTTCCAATGGCGTGGAGATGCTCATCAATAGTAGAATTTGAACATAGAAACTGGTGAGCAAGTTCACGCATCGTTTGACATGGATCCGATTCGATTGCAGTCCTCAAAGGATCGTTGTCTACCGTTTGAGGTCGACGTGTTCATCATGAGAGTGTTCATCATCCTCGAGACTTTCATCACCATTCCGAAAGCGTTGGAATCAGGCTCGGCATCGGCTTTCGGCTTAGGCTTAGATTTAGGCTTAGACTTAGGCTTAGGCTTAGGCTTAGACTTAGACTTAGACTTAGACTTAGGCTTGGACTTAGTGCGAAGGCTAGCGGCTAGCGCCTAGCACTAAGTCTATTTGTTAAAGCAAATTCTTTAGTAAATAGGGTTTAAAAGTTTAAAGAAAAGGCTTTCACTTAATAAATTCGAAATTAAAGTAAACCTTCAATATTTCAATATTATAAAGTTTGCTAAAATTAATATTAGGTTGTTCGGAGATAAACGAGTGTTTGCACTGCTTAACTCGTGAGCTCTTAAGCCATCTGATCGTCTCTCCAATGAGCTCTTAAGCCTTAAGCCATTTCCTGCATCTGATCGTCTTTCCAATGGCGTGGAGATGCTCACTAATAGTAGAATTTGAATATAGAAACTGTTGAGCAAGTTCACGCGTTGTTTGACATGGATCCGATTCGATTGCAGTCCTCAAAGGCTTAGGCTTAGGCTTAGACTTAGGCTTAGGCTTAGGCTTAGACTTAGACTTAGACTTAGGCTTGGACTTAGTGCGAAGGCTAGCGGCTAGAGCCTAGCACTAAGTCTATTTGGGTTTGGGCTAAACCCCCATTTTCTGGATCACAGCCAGTTCTCGGAGCTAAGGGACACCCGCTTGGCGATGCTCATCCGCTAAGGCTTAGGCTTAGGCATCATTTCTATCGACGTGTTCATCATGTCAAAGATTGTCAAAGATTGGCTAAGAAATAGTAGAATTTGAACATAGAAACTGTGGAGCAAGTTCGTTTGACATGGATCCGATTCGATTGCAGTCCTCAAAATATCGATATCTACCGCTTGAGGTCGACGTGTTCATCATGAGAGTGTTCATCATCCTCGAGACTTTCATCACCATTCCGAAAGCGTTGGAATCAAGCTCGACATCGGCTTTCGGCTGAAGCTCAGGCTTAGGCTTAGGCATCATTCCTATCATTCCCAAATGCTTTGACCAGATCTCAATGGGATTCCACTACTGTTTTGCCCAGTTTGAAGTCGTAAAGTAGGCAGAACTTGATATTTGAAGTCGGTCATCTAAAGCAAGAAAAAAGATCTTAAAAATAAGAAATTATCCATTTAAAAAGATTCCAACTATACACAAGATAACGTACTTTTAAATACAGAAAGACATGTTTTAAAAGCTTCTCTCACAACAATAATTTTAGCAACGCTTGTTTATATCCGAACAACCTAATATCTAACCTTATCAAATACCCTATCACTCATCAATCCTTTATTCTAAAATAATTAGACACAAAACCTAAGAACCCCAAGAAGATCGCGCTGATTTGATTTGGTAGATTTTATGCGTTTTAGTTGAAATTCGAATTGGTTAAGCTAAGTTTATACGGGAAAGAAAAGAAAAGAAAAAAATGAAAAGAATGAGAAAAGGGGCTTTTTGTGAGGGGTACGGTAGCGTATCCAGGCTTTAGAAAGCGCCGCTTTCACGCCAGTTCCTTTAAACCACCTGTAAATAGGATTCTAACTACTAAATAGTATTAAAATTTTGTAAAATGAACGCTTTCAGAACGACTCTTTCACTTCGTTTTCGAGAACAGCGATTGCTTTGGGTATGTGACCGAGAAAACGTACAGGAGAATTGGATATGATTCGATTCCGATCGGACTTCGGAGAGCTGTTTATGAAGAAGTGTGAGTTGTTTAGAATTCAATTCAATCATTTTTCTAGCAATAGTCTAGCTGTAATAGTCTAGTTGATCTGTTCAAAACGAGATCGCAAATGTTGTGAAGGATGAATCATAAGAAAATCATCAATGAATCGATTTCTCAAAGATTTCCACAGCTATTTAGATTTAGAATCAAAATCTGAAATCAAAATCTATTCAAAACAAGTTTATTCATGAAAATGAAAGGCTATTATGAGAGTTTTGATGGTGAGTTTTGAGTATAATTATGTAAAATATCGTTTCATTGTAACACTTTGTCTTAGATCAACAAAAACTGAAGTCATGCTCAATATTTCAGAACTAAACAACTCTAATAGTACGGTTAAATGTAGTCTAGTTGTAACAAGTTCGTTTTTTTCTGTTTTTCTGAACAGACAGAAAGTCTGTTCGCTTTTTTAAAGGTTAATTTTTGAAATAAATAATAAACCAATCGATCTATGGCTTTTTTTATCAGAAAGTTCTATTATTTATTTACAAATTGCTCTTTAAGAAATTCTGAAAAGCGTGCGTTCGTTGACTTTTTAAAGCTTTAAAGTCAAGGAGACGAAAAACGATGAAAATTTCAGATTTAAGCACTTTTTGTAGGATCTGTTCTGAATCTGTTCTGTAATCTGTTCAATGATCTGTTCAATGATCAATGATCAATGAAATGATCTGTTCAATTGCTAATGATCAATGAAATGATCTGTTCAATTGTTAATGATCAATGAAATGATCTGTTCAATTGTCAATGATCAATGAAATGATCTGTTCAATTGTTAATAATCAATGAAATGATCTGTTCAATGGTCAATGATCAATGAAATGATCTGTTCATTTGTTAATGATCAATGAAATGATCTGTTCAATTGCTACTGATCAATGAAATGATCTGTTCAATTGTCAATGATCAATGAAATGATCTGTTCAATGATCAATGATCAATGAAATGATCTGTTCAATTGCTAATGATCAATGAAATGATCTGTTCAATTGTCAATGATCAATGAAATGATCTGTTCAATGATCAATGATCAATGAAATGATCTGTTCAATTGCTAATGATCAATGAAATGATCTGTTCAATTGTCAATGATCAATGAAATGATCTGTTCAATTGTTAATAATCAATGAAATGATCTGTTCAATTGCTACTGATCAATGAAATGATCTGTTCAATTGTCAATGATCAATGAAATGATCTGTTCAATTGCTACTGATCAATGAAATGATCTGTTCAATGATCAATGATCAATGAAATGATCTGTTCAATGGTCAATGATTAATGAAATGATCTATTAAATTGCTAATGATCAATGAAATGATCTGTTCAATTGTCAATGATCAATGAAATGATCTGTTCAATTGTTAATAATCAATGAAATGATCTGTTCAATGATCAATGATCAATGAAATGATCTGTTCATTTGTTAATGATCAATGAAATGATCTGTTCAATTGTTAATAATCAATGAAATGATCTGTTCAATGGTCAATGATCAATGAAATGATCTGTTCATTTGTTAATGATCAATGAAATGATCTGTTCAATTGCTACTGATCAATGAAATGATCTGTTCAATTGTCAATGATCAATGAAATGGTCTGTTCAATTGCTAATGATCAATGAAATGATCTGTTCAATGGTCAATGATTAATGAAATGGTCTGTTCAATTGTCAATGATCAATGAAATGATCTGTTCAATTGTTAATAATCAATGAAATGATCTGTTCAATTGTCAATGATCAATGAAATGATCTGTTCATTTGTTAATGATCAATGAAATGATCTGTTCAATTGTTAATGATCAATGAAATGATCTGTTCAAAACGAGATCGCAAGTGTTGTGAAGGATGAATCATAAGAAAATCATCAATGAATCGATTTCTCAAAGATTTCCACAGCTATTTAGATTTAGAATCAAAATCTGAAATCAAAATCTATTCAAAACAAGTTTATTCATGAAAATGAAAGGCTATTATGAGAGTTTTGATGGTGAGTTTTGAGTATAATTATGTAAAATATCGTTTCATTGTAACACTTTGTCTTAGATCAACAAAAACTGAAGTCATGCTCAATATTTCAGAACTAAACAACTCTAATAGTACGGTTAAATGTAGTCTAGTTGTAACAAGTTCGTTTTTTTCTGTTTTTCTGAACAGACAGAAAGTCTGTTCGCTTTTTTAAAGGTTAATTTTTGAAATAAATAATAAACCAATCGATCTATGGCTTTTTTTATCAGAAAGTTCTATTATTTATTTACAAATTGCTCTTTAAGAAATTCTGAAAAGCGTGCGTTCGTTGACTTTTTAAAGCTTTAAAGTCAAGGAGACGAAAAACGATGAAAATTTCAGATTTAAGCACTTTTTGTAGGATCTGTTCTGAATCTGTTCTGTAATCTGTTCAATGATCTGTTCAATGATCAATGATCAATGAAATGATCTGTTCAATTGCTAATGATCAATGAAATGATCTGTTCAATTGTTAATGATCAATGAAATGATCTGTTCAATTGTCAATGATCAATGAAATGATCTGTTCAATTGTTAATAATCAATGAAATGATCTGTTCAATGGTCAATGATCAATGAAATGATCTGTTCATTTGTTAATGATCAATGAAATGATCTGTTCAATTGCTACTGATCAATGAAATGATCTGTTCAATTGTCAATGATCAATGAAATGATCTGTTCAATGATCAATGATCAATGAAATGATCTGTTCAATTGCTAATGATCAATGAAATGATCTGTTCAATTGTCAATGATCAATGAAATGATCTGTTCAATGATCAATGATCAATGAAATGATCTGTTCAATTGCTAATGATCAATGAAATGATCTGTTCAATTGTCAATGATCAATGAAATGATCTGTTCAATTGTTAATAATCAATGAAATGATCTGTTCAATTGCTACTGATCAATGAAATGATCTGTTCAATTGTCAATGATCAATGAAATGATCTGTTCAATTGCTACTGATCAATGAAATGATCTGTTCAATGATCAATGATCAATGAAATGATCTGTTCAATGGTCAATGATTAATGAAATGATCTATTAAATTGCTAATGATCAATGAAATGATCTGTTCAATTGTCAATGATCAATGAAATGATCTGTTCAATTGTTAATAATCAATGAAATGATCTGTTCAATGATCAATGATCAATGAAATGATCTGTTCATTTGTTAATGATCAATGAAATGATCTGTTCAATTGTTAATAATCAATGAAATGATCTGTTCAATGGTCAATGATCAATGAAATGATCTGTTCATTTGTTAATGATCAATGAAATGATCTGTTCAATTGCTACTGATCAATGAAATGATCTGTTCAATTGTCAATGATCAATGAAATGGTCTGTTCAATTGCTAATGATCAATGAAATGATCTGTTCAATGGTCAATGATTAATGAAATGGTCTGTTCAATTGTCAATGATCAATGAAATGATCTGTTCAATTGTTAATAATCAATGAAATGATCTGTTCAATTGTCAATGATCAATGAAATGATCTGTTCATTTGTTAATGATCAATGAAATGATCTGTTCAATTGTTAATGATCAATGAAATGATCTGTTCAAAACGAGATCGCAAGTGTTGTGAAGGATGAATCATAAGAAAATCATCAATGAATCGATTTCTCAAAGATTTCCACAGCTATTTAGATTTAAAATCATGATCTCATCAAAGGAATCTATTTTTTTTCGTTAAAAGATCAAAGATAGAAAATGAAAATTTGCATAGATCGACAAATTTAGGCAAAATTTCAATCAAAATTTGCATAACATTACACTAAGGCATTTACATTCAAAATTTTTCGTTTATAAATGAATCAACTGATAAACGTAATGCTTTGCATTGTAATTGTAATGCTTTGCATTGTAATTTCGTGAAAAACACGAATTCCCGTTCGGATTTGACTCAAATTTGCTCAATTCGTCTCAAATTTGGCTAAAAATTAGCTAAATGACCTTGTTAAATGACACGATCTACCCAAATTTAAATTATTATAATTTTTTCATAAATCTAAAATATTATAGTACCACGGAGACGACAAAGAGCACGGATTTCTTCATAGAAATTTTTTTCTTAACAAACTTTTTCCGACAAATTTATAGGATCTTTAGAATGGAAATTTATAAAAACTGGAATGTAAAAAGAGTTTAACAGAAGCTATCCAACTAAGACAAAGCTTTTTAGGCGTAAAAAACTTCAAAGATTATTATTTAAATTTATAAAAACACACTACAAGACAGCTTATCCTCTTGGAAAAATCTTGAAGCAAAATTGGTAGAAAAATTAGCTAACAACGTTAACTGATAACGTCAAGGATCCACTAGAGCTTCAAGATCAAGCTCATCTACAGACAATTTAAAGGTTTCGAGATTATTGGACTCTCTCAAAGCTCTGAGGAGTCGATTCCAAATTTTGGCAGTTCTTATTGGAAAAGAGTTACGAACAAACCTATGCTAAAAGTGCTAAATTCGTGCTCCGATAACACAGCTAACGATCGTCAAGAATCCACAGAGTAGTACAGGTCACGTCAAGGATCGATTAGAACTTCAAGATCAAGATCATCTACAGATAATTTCAAGGTTTCGAGATTATTGAACTCTCTCAAAACTCTGAGGAGTCGATTCCAAATTCTGGCAGTTCTTATTGGAAAAGAGTTATGAACAAACCTATGCTAAAAGTGTTAAATTCGTGCTCCGATAACACAGCTAACGATCGTCAAGAATCCACAGAGTAGTACAGATAACGTCAAAAATCCACTAGAGCTTCAAGATCAAGATCAAGATCAAGATTAAGATCAAGATCAAGATCAAGATCAAGATCAAGATCAAGATCAAAAGCAAGATCAAGATCAAGCTCATCTACAGACAATTTAAAGGTTTCGAGATTATTGGACTCTCTCAAAACTCTGGGGAGTCGATTCCAAATTCTGGCAGTTCTTATTGGAATTCTTATTAGAAAAGAGTTATACACAAACTTATTGAAGGTGAATGGAATTTCGAAAACGAAAGAACCTCTCCTTGAATTAACCGTGGGATCAACTTTGAATAAATCTCTATAAATCTATGGGATCTTTACATTGGAAATTTATAAAGACTGGTATGTAAAAAAGAGTTTAACAGAAGCTATCCAACTAAAATAAAGCTTTTTAGGCGTAAAAAACTTCAAAGATTATTATTTAAATTTACAAAAACTTCTATGTAATATCCTTAAAGAAATACAAAACTAAGAATCAAAAAATCTCAAAATTTCCCACATTTTTCTCAACTTTCTTTTTGAGTTTAGATTTAAAAGGATATTGTAAAATCAAAAAAAAGAATAAATAAAAGAAAAAGAAACTACAAGAGAACTTATTATCAACCTTGGAAATAGGAAAAAGTAAAAGATTGAACAGGCAAATGGAGGCAAATTTGGAACAGGCAAATTGAGGCAAATTTGGTACAAAATTAGCTAACAATGTTAACTGATAAATGGGTTTTTTATTGAATTATTAGTTTACAATTCAAATGAGCCTCGAGATTTAAAAGATTTTGAATTGAATTCGATCAAAATTTCAAATTCTTTGTTTCCCCGTTTTCTCAAAGCTCAAAACTCCGAATTTCAGAGATCTGCCCACCAGTGCTTTCATTTTCGTTGACGATTTCTCGAAACCCAAAGATTTTGTGGCTCATTTAAGGTAAATTCTTAAGAAAAAACAGGTAAAACATAAGAAAATCAATGTTTTGCATTGCTTTCAGATATCTCGAATCAAACGAAACCGCTTACAAAGAATATTTTCGATGGAGAGACGAATATATAGCGGTGGAAAAAGCTGAGAATTGGTGTGAGCTGTGTGAGAGAATTTCCTCACCCGATCCAAAGATTAACTTCAAAGAGAGAAAGGTAAAGCTCTTTTTTGAAAAAAAAATCTAAAGCTATCTTTACTCTACAACTTCTTTTTGGCTTGTTTGGCTTTGTTTCTCAAGAACTTTTTCTTTGTTTGTCTTTTGTTTCTGTTTCTCAATAGGTTTCTCAAGCGTAGGGTTGTTCCAAAACATTTTTTCTAAGCCAAGTCAGGTCAGGTCCTAAACCATTTGACTCATTCTGGATTCGATTTACTACAGGTTTATTCCATAAAAAGTATCCAGGTGGGCCAAGTCTGGACTGGCTTACAGGACCGGGACAAACCAGGTAGAGCCAGCTCAGGCCAGAAGCCAGATCTGGACCTGTACCTGGATCTGAACTTGGACCTATACCTGAACCTGAACCTGGAACTGGACCTGGATCTGAAACTGGACCTGGATCTTGATCTGATCCTGGACCTGGACCTGGAACTGAACCTGGGCCTGAACTTGGACCTATACCTGAAACTGAACCTGGAACTGGCCCTAGATATGAAACTGAACCTGGATCTTGATCTGAACCTGTACCTGGGCCTGAACCTGGACCTATACCTGAACCTGAACCTGGACCTGAACCTGGAACTGGACCTGGATCTTGATCTGAACCTGGACCTGGCCCTGTACCTGTACCTGGGCCTGAACCTGGACCTATACCTGAATCTGAACCTGGACCTGAACCTGGAACTGGACCTGGATCTTGATCTGAACCTGGACCTGGCCCTGTACCTGTACCTGGGCCTGAACCTGGACCTATACCTGAACCTGAACCTGGACCTGAACCTGGAACTGGACCTGGATCTTGATCTGAACCTGGACCTGGACATGTACCTGTACCTGGGCCTGAACCTGGACCTATACCTGAACCTGAACCTGGACCTGAACCTGGAACTGGACCTGGATCTTGATCTGAACCTGGACCTGGACCTGGAACTGAACCTGGATCTGAACTTGGATCTTGCTACGGCTTGGCTTGATTTTCAGTCAGCCTTTAATTTATTTTGCTCTTCTTTTAAAACAAAATAATTTTTCAAGACTTTTTCAAAAAAGTTTTAGATGATTTCCAAGATCTATGACGAGTACGCGTGGTGCTTTCAGCGGCCGGTCTGGGATTTTCCCTATTTTTAAATCTTTAAATACAATATCTCATCAAATTTTGCTTTTTTTTTTGATCATCTCGACCGTATCTTTTTGTTTCTTTTTCACTTTTTCTTTTCATGTTAAAAGCTCAGGTTAATTTCAGAGATATCGGGTAATTTTTCCTTTTTCAACTTCACTTTTAGCTTTTCTATTAGATTTTTATTTCAATTTCTTTGTTTTTTATGAATTTCTTTGCTTTTCTTATGTGATCAATTCCAGATTGTGATTTTTATTGAAAGCTCAGCTTTTTTACATGTGCTTCTAGTTAATATCGAATTGTTAGCAATGTTTTTATTGTAAAGTTTATACCGTAAGCATTATATGTTCAAATTTGATAAAGCCATTTTTCTCCATGATTTAGAATACGCTTTTATTGAAACAAACAAACCTAGTGAGATCACAAACCAAAAGATTCCCTTGAAAATGATTTTGGTTCGAAATTTGTATCAATTTGCTCAAATTCGATCGATTTCACCCGGACAACGTCCTAAATTCCGCGTATTCTTTGGCACTCTTTTCTGAAAGAGCTACTTTAAAGATCAACATTACTTGTCTGGACAAAAGCTAGCTTCAAAGCCTACAGATTACATTTGAGCGACAATTTCGGGAATGCTATTTGTCTCGACAAAGCAATCCAGGTACAGTAATCCCTGCACAGTAATCCGCATACAGAAGCCCGGTACAGTAATCCCTGCACGGAAATTTCCGTACAGAATCTAGGCACAGCAATCCCACTACAGAAGCCCGGTACAGCAATCCCGCTACAGAAGCCCGGTACAGTAATCCCTGCACGATAATTTCCGTACAGAATCTAGGTACAGCAATCCCGCTAAAGAAGCCCGGTACAGTAATCCCTGCACGGTAATTTCCGTACAGCAATCCAGGTACAGTAAACCCGGCACAGTAATCCCGGTACACTTAGCCCCGATACAGTAAACCCGGTTTTTGCTTAACATGTTTAAAAGTGCGCTTACGCAAAGCGTATCGTACTCAGGCTGTCAATGTTACCCTACTTTTCACATCAAAACAGGCAACTGTTGTTCATTTGATGTTTTTTTGTTGTTTTTACTTTTTTCTGCTTTCCTTTCATCGTGTGAAGGTTGTGTCCTAATTAGGACGAAATTCTTTCCGTTTTTATCGTCGCTTTTAATTCAATAGTCGATGTTTTGTGAAAATTTCTCAAGTGAGGGCCCAAAACTCAAGAAAAGCTCAAAAATTGCGAGTCAGTCGGCTATTGAATAAAGTGTCTTAGTTCAAGTGTATTCGTACCGTACTCAGGCTGTCGATGTTAGCCTACTTTTGACATCAAAACATAGCAGCATTTTATATTGTACTTTCAATTTCCTTTAAATTTTATTAATTGAAACAATGTGCGTGAAGAATCTGTGTGAATGTGAATCTAAACATGCATTTGTTGACTCAAGTGTCTGATTGATTCGATCATCTGTCATTTCTATCATTTACGTGAATTTCGTTCTTTTATTTATGACTTTTGTGTAAAGTTTATCTCACAAAAAATGAAAAGAAAAACTAAATTTCGAAATTTTTAAAAAAATGCGTTTTAATGAAACGAATTTTGTGTGCGTTGAGCAAAGGAAAGACCGAATCGTCGGAGATGTCTTTGATGAGGGAAAACGAAATCAAAATGATAATGAAAGACCACAAATTTGTGATTTTTGAAGAAAAATTGCAACTGTAAATGGGAATGAGAAATTTGAGAGAAAAAAAAACTCATGAACTTTTGGGCTATTGTAAACTGGAAAACGGACAAAAATTGCACGTTTTCTGGCATTTTTTGAAACATTTCTATCGTAAAAATCTTTTGAAAATCGATTTAATTTGGGTATTTTTTGAAATTTCATGTATACGGACAAGTTCTGTGTCGAAAAAGTTCAAGATTTTCACAATTTTCCCAAATATTTCTCGTGGTACACCGATAAGCAGGAAAACTAACGTAAAAAAAGGCAAAAGCGAAGCCCGAAAAAAGCCAGGGTAAGTTGGCTACAATAAATGAACATTGATAATGGATTTTTTTTGATTAAGACGTTTTCTAAAAGTTGCGATAACCTACCGTAATTCTAGGTTGCTTTTTAAATAAACTATTCTGCGAAAAGACAGGACCATGGTCCTGTCCATGGACCCATGGGTAGCTTTTTCTTAGAGCATTTTTTAGAAAACATTTCAACCCAAAGAAATACCCATTTTTGAAGCTAGATCAAAGTTTCTAATCATTTTGAAATCTTGTGGCCACTACGATTTTTGCAAGCACATAAGGCAAAAAAACATAAATGCTTTCTAAAGAATTGCACGCTGAAGAACTAATCAAAGATCAATCACAAACGCTTTAATTGAGCTATGAAAACTATGAAAAAAAACAGCATTTCCTGTACAAATTAGAGGGCTTTCAGCTCGCAAATCGGAAGCATGTCCGTTTTTTGATCGATTGGCGGCATTTGGAGATAAACTGGGTGTTGCAAGATTCTGAAATTTGAAAACTTTGAATTGCAAACAATTTGAAACAAAGATTTAAAGACACTGAAAATATTGACGACACAATCTGTTCGCTAGCTACTAGACTTGTAACAAAAACATTTGTCGATCCCTTTTTGTCCTTGGCAATTGAAGGTTTTTCGTGTTTTTCTCAACACCAACCCTTCGATTTTGACCATCAGAATAAAATAAAATGCAATAAAATGCAAGACGCAGAATAAAATTGCGCATCGAATGATACCAAAATTAACTCAAAATATAATATCCACGCAAAGTTGTTGGCTAAAAACCGAAACCCCGCTCATTATGGGCGAGACTTAATCTTTTGCTTCATAATTTTATGTGGATATTATATTTTGAGTTAATTTTGGTATCATTCGATGCGCAATTTTATTCTGCATCGAATGATGGTAAAATAGGCAAAATCGAAGGATTGGTGATGAGAAAAAGACGAAAAACCTTAAAATGTCAACGGCAAAAAAAGGACCGACGGATGTTTTCGTTACAAGCCTACTAATTTTTTGACAGATTATTATATCCCTGTAGTCGTTAGATTGTTGTATCTTGGAAATAGGAAAGAGTAAAAGATCAGGAATCCAGGCGAGATTAGGGTAGCTGGAGGAGGCTTTAAAACTGAACTCACCGGAAAACCTCAGCGAAAAGCGGCGGAATGTGGATTTTAGCCGAGTTTACCCTCACCCAATCAAGGCATCGCTCGTTTTCATGGCCTGGAAAAGGAATGTTTATTTAAATCCAGCAATATTAGTACCTTTTAAGAATCTAAGCTTTAAACGAACATTTCCCAGTCAGTTTAAGTGTACAATTTCGTGCAATTCCGATAACTCACCCAATTTTTCCAATTCCTCTTTCATTGCGGCCATCATGTTGAAAGCGAGCGGGTTGTTCGCGTGATTTCGCAGCAGTAAGGACTTAAATTACAAATTAGCTAGCAAAACTTTGTCAAAATCATATAAAGCACAGTATTTTCTATGCACATCAACCAAAAACCAACCCTCAGCGCCTCTTCGACGAATGTTTTCATCTGTTCCACTTCTCTCCAATTGCATAATCCGTGCACATCTGAAAATTCCGCGAATTCTCACTCTCGTCATCATGATTACAGGATTTTGCGGATTTGCATGTACAAAAACACATCAAGGTGTCTCAAAAGTTCGGAGCCACTTTGTTTTTCGATCAAATTCAGCTTTTAAGATAACAAAAAACTGTTTAACGCTGAAAATTCTTATAAAAGTTTGTAATTATAGAAAGTTTATGTTAAAGATGCTTTACAAGTACAAGTAGAGGCTTTACAAGTAAAGATCAAGTCTTTTAATTGGTAATATATCGCCAGAATCAACCAAAATGTCTGATCGCTTGAATTTCTCTCAAAAACCATCTAAATTTTCTGAGATTTCTAATTAAACGTAGTCAGTCAAAAGCAATTCTATTTTTTTAAACTCTTTTTAGATAAATAGCAAAATTTTAGCTTGATTGAAGCTAAAAAGAAAAACTTATAGCTCTAAAAAGTAATCGTAATCGGATTTCAAGTTTTAACTATTGTTTCACAAGAAAATAGGTCTGAGTAGGTTCTCTTTTTTTTCGGAAAAATGTTTTCTAGACCCAAATTTCATCTAGATTTTGAATTTCTAAACGGTTTTTCAAAAAGGCTTTCTGTTGGCCTTAAGAACGAGGTGGCTCCGCACTTTTGAGACACCCTGTAGTTGATCGAAGATTTAAAAAATGATACCGGCAGTGATTAGCAGCCAAACAACGAAGAGCGCTCTCTCGGCCATCGAACAATGTAAAGAGTTGAAATTTTTTGCAAATGTGATCCATCGATAGACAAAATCGCTGCCATAGAGGGAGATGAGCTGAAAAATTGAGGGTAAAGGTTTCAACTACGGCGTCAAAGATATTGAATAGACTTGAATACTTTATGATTTATGAATATGGCTTAGAACGTTCTGTTAGCTTTCAGAAGATCTATAGGATTTTGAAAAGTTACCGTCAATATTCTAATAGAAGAGCCCCCTATAGTCGCGTAGTCTAGGTTTACACTCAAAGAACAGCTCATATCTCGGCGCTCAGACATTTGTTTCTGCGCGCTAAGGTATCAAATTAAAGTAGAGAAAATGGGTGATATTTTGAGATATAGCACATATTTTTAGCATTAATCAGCGCTTAGAACAAAATGATTAAAAAATGATGGAAAATCGGTTTTTTTTTTGCCACTTTTCAATCATTTTGTTCTAAGCGCTGATTAATGCTAAAAATATGTGCTATATCTCAAAATATCACCCATTTTCTCTACTTTAATTTGATACCTTAGCGCGCAGAAACAAATGTCTGAGCGCCGAGATATGAGCTGTTCTTTGAGTGTAAACCTAGACTACGCGACTATAGGGGGCTCTTCTATTAGAATATTTACGGTAAAATAATGTAGAATTTATGATTCCGCATCCGGTTTCATTTAGATTACTAGCTATTAGATCAAC